GTGGCATGGTGTAGTCGGCAAGTACTTGGTCTACCAATCTAGGGGTCACTAGTTCAAGTCTTGCCGCTGACGACACCCTTTGGTTTTGATAAAAATTGCTGGAAGGCCATATGGACGTCAAGTAAAAATTTTTATGTCTAATCTTGTATAAAAACGGATTTTTATGTCTAGCTTTATCTGCTCCGGGGTAGGAAGGAGAATTTCTATTGGCACAATTACTGATAATCATTATGAGAATGATGCTTTGTTGTTGCCACAAATACTTCAATTGGTGACAAATGGGCCAAAAAGAACTAGAAATATTATTACTGGGCGTCCATATGGCCTTCACAGCAATTTTTATCCAAAAAGCAAAAAAGTCGTCAGCGGCAAGACTCGAACTAGTGACCCCTAGATTGGTAGACCAAATACTTGCCGACTACACCATGCCACCGATGGATGCCGCCCTCTGGAAAGAGGCTTTGAAGCGCGTGGGGCGCATCGCGCCCAGCCAGGCAAAAAATGCACAATGTTTAACATGATTTTTCATGGTGTTCCTATGGATTTGGGCAAAAATAAATATCGGGATCGTGATCAGCGCGAAAAACTGCATCTGATACGCTATCTAGCTAACCGAACTTGAACTTCGAGCTGGGGAGGTATCCTTGTTAGTCTCTAAACCTTGCAAGTTATCTCGTTGATTCATATGCGCATATACCAAATAGAGAACGATATCTATGTTTTGAATGCGCAGAAGAATCTACGAGACAACTTGCAATATTTTTCAAGCAAAGTTTTAGTTTACGTAGCTCGTTTTTTTCGCGACCGAAACTTGTTAAAGTATTACTTGTGTGATCTACCAAAAAACAAGCGTTGCTTATCGCAATAACGGAAATATTTGCTTGCGAGCGCAACACTATTATTACTGTGGGAAATAGCAACTCTTAAAACAATGAAGGCATTTAAAAACACGAATAAGTGTTCCGTCGAAATGAAATCTTGTCTAAGGGTAATTTCGGGAAGATCACATGAGTTTCTAATATCACGCGAAGCGTGGTATTTAGAAATATACGTCGAAAGGCGGGCGCGGAAGCGCGGGAAGTAGCTTGACTAGTGGCAATATCAGACCGCGGGCTGGAGCTGGGTTGAGAAGAGGTCCGACCGCGGGTTGAGGACGGGCCCGACCGCGGGTTGCAAGGCGGGATAAGAAGGGAATCGGCTGCAGGCAGACCGCGGGTTAAAGAACGGGTCCGACCGCGGGTTTAGCTATACCAATAGCTAAACTTAATAGCTGTATCGATCGATAACGAATTTCGATAAGGGCTGTCAAAATACAAGATGTCACAATACAAAAGCCAAAGCCGCGAAAAGTGTCGGATCAGGATGCTGGCTACGTCATCCGAAAGCTACTGAAATCGCAAGACTGCAACCAGTCATTGTTGTCATTGAATGCCAGACAAAGACCACTATCAAAAACAGGTCATTCATTGTCTCACAGCTACGTTTCAGGAGCTGGATGCGAGAGAGCGCGAGAGAGAGAGAGAAAGCGAGAGAGTGAGAGAGAGAGAGAGCAAGAGAGAGGGAGAGAGGGGAGAGTGAGAGAAGGTGCTCTGTTTTTCGATGTAACATTTTGCAAACTGCTTATTTCTGGATTTCTTCATCAAAATACCTTTATTCAGAGGCCAGCCGATTGGCAGAATGAAGGAAAAGTGAGGCCAATGAAATACATCCCGGCTTAAAATCGCTATAGCTTTTGTTAAACGCTATAGCTATACTTCATGCGGCCTCGTTGATTGTTTTAAAGGCCCGGAATCAGCATGTCCGCATCCGCGTCCGAGGCAGTAGATATTTCCGGGACGTTTTCGGAAGTGATAATGACTTGCCCTCGCACAAACGCTCTACCACAGTAGGTATACTCGTTATTGTCTGTTACTCGTATCCGTTGCCCATCGGTTTCCCGGCGATATTCTTCAACCGGATTATCTAGCTTTTGATCGGTGTTGATTTGAATTTCGCGAATCTCTCTTTTCCCCTTCTTCCACTCCTCCACCATCAAATCGATAAATTCACGAAGTATGTGCTCTCCATCCCGATAAGCCAACACGCGAAATTTCTCCCATTTCAGCTCCGACCAGAGATTTCGTTGCGGCAAAGTCGAGCAATCGAACTCTTCCGCATTTTCAGTAATAAATTGAAGAATTTGATTATTAACGATGACGTTTACAAAGTTTAAATATTGGTACTTCCGATCTTGCGGCTTCATCGCTTTGAGTAGGGCCATCAACGCGGTCTCCTCGGAGCAGCTGGTTATTGCTAGATGGTCTACTCGCATCCCAATTGGCATGCCTTCAGCGGGAATTCGCCGCAAATGAAGGCTATTTACGGTAATTCCAGCCAGTAGCAACGCTGTTGTGCGCGGACTTTTAATCAACACAAGGCGCTGGTAAAGGTTACCGTCTACTTCGTACCCTATCTCAACAGCAGAGTGGTTCGCGAAATCGACTTGACAATCTGCCCAGCCATTCGTCCCGGCTTCGGTCAATTTCCACAGCAATCTGCAAGTCCTAGCGTATCGGAATCGTGTCGGCGGATCCATTGGAGTGAGGAATTCGAGAAGACGACGGTGGAATGTCACAGGAAGATTGAGGAAATCCATATCATAAGATGATTCATCCATTCGACCGCTATTTCTAAAACATGGGCTTTGGCAGCAATACATGGTGCTTCAATAAGAAACATCCCCTATGAGTCGACGCATAAGTATCGGATCGGAATGATAGCTATACCAATCGAAAGCCCTTGAAGCGACCAGCTCGCAAAAGTCTTCAAAACCATGTTTTTTATTTTGACTCGCTATTTTACAAGTCATTTTGTAAAACTTTGCGGTTTTTTGGGGTTGCATACGAGTTAATTTGCCTCGATTTCTCCAAGCAAAATGATCAAAGGTAGACGTTAATTACATATTGAGGCCATCCCTTAAAGGGCTGCCGGCGGCATGTGTCGATCCCCCCCATCAACAAATTGGCAAGTAGCCAACAGGGGAGAGAGCGCGCCCAGGGCGAGAAACGCAGAGACATTTTCTTTTCCGCCCGTAACCGATTGACTATGCCGTCGGCATCCCTTTAACGTTTTTCAAGGCTTTCTAAAATTGTGCGTTTCAATGAAAACATGGTTTTGCAGCTGTTGCAAACTCGCCTTGTCAAGGGGCTTTCGAATTGTGTAAACATCATTGCGATCCGATACTTCTGCGTCGAGAGGGGGTGTTTTTTATTGGGACACCCTGTAAATAAAGAACGGACACCGATCAAAAATGTCGTCAAATCTGAAATTTTAGTTTAATAAAGGAGCGGGGCAATAAGTGAAGCGGAAACCCCGCAAAATCGATGAGGGGATGCCGCAAGAAAAATGGGGTGAGGGCCGAGGTGAGCGCGTTGAAAGATAAGGAATTGTTTGGACAGTTCTCGGGAAACCGCCGTAGCAAACCGACATTTTTTCTAGGCCAAAGTCACTAAAATTTAATGATTGTATACGTTTCATGTTGAGGAGAGCGACAACTACAAACTACAGCTCAAAAATTAGACAGTTCTTAGGTTAATTAGTGCCACCCAAAGTTATTTGTTCACTTTAATTTTTATTTTACTTTATTATTTATTACTTTCTGCCACACAATGCTTTGATTATTTATTGGCTGCTTGACGTTAGGGATCAACCACGCGATGTTAAATTTTGCACTGTTCTCTAAACCTAAACTTGGAATAAAATGAGAGCAGCAGTTTCGTTAACTTTTTTTTGCAATTTCATGGAATCCGCCGATATGCGCAACGATATTTATTCAGACACGGAAAAGAGAAAAACACAGAGGCTTATCGTTACAGGGTGCGGCAAAAGTATTGTCGCGAGCTTTTGCCTCATATCTTATTTGCGACAAAAAAATGGGAAGTTTTGTCAACAGTATTAGCTTTAGACAGGTCCAAGGCAGCAATCTGCTTTTGAAAGTTTCTTGGAATCATGATTTTTGAGCGATTTTCATTGCATGATGTACACGACCAAAAATCACGGTGCGCCGCGTCCTCAGTTCGTCGAAATAGGGTTCTAAATTCGGAGACTACGTGGGACCATGTCTTTTGATATGTGTTTCTGGTAGCATTTGCTTTGTTCTCCGTCGTCCAAAATGGAAATCTTATAATTTTGTGATTTGAAAGAGTTATGGCCTCAGCCATGTTAAACGAAAATGGGCTAATCTGGCCGGTTTCGCGACAAACTTGGGTTTTTTTGGGTTTTTAGTTTCTGAAGGAGCTTTTAGGGGATGACGTAACAGTATATTATTATGCTTCATGTGTGCTTATTTTAATGTGCATGATGCGCTAAATCCTGATCGCTATCCACCCCTGGTTTGAAAAAAAATTATTTTGCATTTGCAAGCAGTCATGGAAGCTTATGTTTTCGAACCAGGGCAGGATTACTAGGCTCAAACTTCGGGAATATATAAAAAGAAGCATGGATCAACCAGAGAAAAATTAGCAAGGCTATCATTGTTTTGCGGACGACACAATCTCGCTTTTTGCTGACGGGGCGGCCATGTGCGGCGCACTGGGTTTGCCTCTTCTTTGAATAGGGCTCCCTCAAAAAAGGAGCCGCAACATTCTTTGGTTGATGGTTTCTCAGACAGAGCTTTACATGCTCTCTCAAATTAAATAAGAAGCTTGGCGTAGATACCATTCTTTGGCAACCTAGAGAGGTCTAAAAAGCAGTTTTTAGGCTTGAATTTGCCGGGTTTGTGGAAAAAGTTGTCCTAGCGACAAAAAAAAAGCAAAAATTCTGGAAGTAAATCTTATCATCGGATAAAGCATTAAAAACTGCATAAGATAGATTTTTGGCTAGAATACCTGTCAAATTTCCTCGCAGATACATTCAGCGGAAAGTCGCGACAATACTTTTGCCGCACCCTGTATATCATTACGGTTGCCGCTGCATCCAGATGAGCACCCGTTTGTCCCAGGTGACCGGGCGAAACTCGATCACGGCGGGTCGCACTGGCGGGGGTGGTGAAGGTCCCTAGACGTTTGATTTTTTAATAGTTCCATAGTAACTCCCAAAAACAACATACCCTGACAGGAAGTCGACGGGGGGCGCGGTGGAGGTGAGTACGGACGGATACGTCCTTCTACCGGAGACACGGGACGCTGGAATAACATTTTATTTTTGATTTTTAGAAGTTATTTCAAATCTCTCGCCGGGGGGCGCCGGGTAAATAGGTCGCTTAAATCAATTTAATAAAAACCCACAATAATAAAAACTCACAAATCCTTCAGGTTCAGGGTTCGGTGGTGGAGTGTCAACCAACCGGGCTCTTGTATTGTGGAGGTAGGGTACATTTCTCACGGCTGCAGCATGACGCTTTGCACGCTGAAAGAAATAAGCTCAAACTAAGGTTCAACTACCAACCGCTTCCATTCTCCCATGAATAAACTCGCCGACAGTAACCGGTACCCCCTGGAGGGGTAAATCCTCATCCATAAAGCTCTCCTAGCAATCATGTATATAGACAAAGACTAATAAATACCAGAGAACGAAACAGGGTCGCCGGATCACAGTGAATATCCTCTTCGTCGCTCGATGACACGGGGCGCAACTCAACCCTTTTTGACTACAAAAAAAGAAGATTAAAAAACTTTCTTGGGCCTTACCAAGGTTAGTCGCCGCGTCTTAGCAATAGCGAAACCAACTTCTTCACACTTTCGCGCCAAATCCTCGTACATCTAGAGGAAAGTATAATAAAGCGAGAAAATACAAATACCGGTCGAGGTTTGAGCTTCTTTGCCAGCTCGGCGGACAGTGCATTGGCCCGCGTTCGTAATAGGTGGGTCGCACCGATTAATGGTTGCCACTTTTGCTGGATTGTGAGCTGGAATTTAAAAATGCATCAATAAATAAAAGCTTACTCGCATCCTCGATCACGCAACGTAGACGAACCAGATAGGAATCGAGCACGGGGGGGGAGAGCACGGGAGGAGGTCTCCTCCTCCTACCGGTCCGAATGCCAAAAATTCGCCAAGTTCATGGGTGAGATCCGGCATGCCCGCCGAAGACTCCGCGTCCGTTGGCTGAAGCTGACAGCCCCAAAAGTGTTCGTTCTCTGTGCTCCCCGCGCCGACCAGTCTCCCCGACGCGCAAGGGCACACTGAGTTCCTGAAAACGAGATGGTTCTATACCGATAACGGGAACTATAAAAAAGATCGGGTACTATAATAAGGAGGGTACCATAGGAGATATCGTGGACCATTGGCCGGAATTGTGGACCATAGATTTCCCGAATTTTTCATTAAGGTCCACGGTTCGAATCGTGGACTATAGAATCGGGCTTGTAGCCAGATTATGGGCCCCGATTCCGACAGGCGCCAAAAACCGAAAACGGTGGTGCTGATGTATCTGAGGGGTACAACACTGTGTTCACAGTAACGGGCCACAAGACAGACCGTTTAACTTACTTGCTTTTTAGCTGAAGTCTAGGCTTAACTTACAAGGGAACCACCTAAGGTCAAGGTGGCGTTTCGTTATGGGACCCGGCTTATTTTGTGCAGAATTTTTTTGCTGATTTCGAATCCGCTTTTATTTTTTGCTAAATAGCCCAATTTAAAAAGTTGTGGCGTTTCAAAGTACCATTTTGTCCCAAATTTTCGAACTTCAAAGTCATTTATCTTGCCTTTCCCGTCTGATTCCTGAAAAACGAATACCATTCAGAAAAATTTTCTCTATCGAATGAGCTACTTAACTCAAAATTGTTGAAAATTGAAAAAATCGAAAACTACCTCTTTCACACCCCCGTAAGTGATCGTCGATAGGTAGTAGCGCATTAAAGAAATATACCAAACGAATCAGAAAAAAATTCTCTACAAGATAGGCCATTAAAAATTGACTGTCCTATTAAAACAAAAAAGTGGCGCGTCGTGACAGATGACTTCCCGCGGACTAAAATATGACCTTAAAATTGCTATAACTTTTTAAATTGGGCTATTTAGCAAAAATTGAAATCAGGTTCGGAATCAGCAAAAAAATTCTACACAAAATAGGCCGGGTCCCATAACGAAACGCCACCTCGACCTTAGGTGGTTCTCTTGTTAGCTCTAATTATGCTTAACTAAAGCTTAGGGAATTTAGGCTTCAATTTAGGCGCAAGTCCAAGTTTAACTTAACTTTGAATTGCTCTCAAAACTCAAATAGATGCTATATAGGATCTACGCTATATAGATGGATAGTTTACAGCCAGGCTTCACTTGGCTGCTGTTAGGCTTCGGCTTGGCTTCAATGGAGCTAATCAGACTCAGGCATAGCTTAGATTTTTTCAAGTGTTGATCAGCTTACAGCCAGGATTTGCATTTAATGGAAATTACCTTAAATCCGATTAGAGCCACAATTAAAGCTCAAAAGTCTAATGTTTTACAAAATACAGTCTTAAGATCCCTATGGTGAACATAAATGCCTCAAAAACAACTGGAAATGCTCTTCTAGGCAAAATATACTCAAAATATTATTAATATTTATTCATACAAAGATAACGACAAAAAAACGCATATTTTACTGTCGGATACGCTGCGATACTCTGGTCAACAAGATACGCCCGTATTCTGAGTATTTGTCTCGAATCCGTTCTCCATCAATTTCCCGTTGATGTTCTTTACATCCAACTACATAGCCCCGGGCGGCGCAAATTTTGGTTTCTATAATTTCTCGTTTGCCCTCTTTCCACTCTTCTACCATCTGATTTATGGTTGAACCAGTTGCCACCCCGCTGTCCTGACCTCGATCCGGAGCTGCGGACATTTCAGCTCGGACCACTGGCGTCGGCCGGGCAACCTTGGGAAACGGCACTCTCACGTGTTCGTTAATAAAATGTAATATTTGTTCGTTTATTTACATCATCATCATTCTATCAAACTGTATGAATTGATAGTTACGTGCCAGCGGCTTCATTCCTTCAAATAGGGCCAGCCAAGCAGCATCATCGAGCAATGCCTCATCTATTCTTACAAGGAGACGTTTTTAAGTGTCGTCGGGACTTTGGCATGGGATTAAGCCTATCTTGTGCAGAATTTTACGCTGATTTCGAATATGTTAACCGTTTTTGCGGAATAGCCATTTCTCGAAAGTTATTAAAGATTTAAAACAGCCCAAAATCGGCTACTTTCAATAGTCATAAAAGGCTTCAAAACAGGTTTTAGACAAAACCAGATAGTACATCTTGTTCAGAAAAAAATTCTCTATAAAATGTACCATCTTTTCCAAAATCATTGAAAAGTTGGAAAAATTCGATAAATTGGGTGGTCCATAATTTTACAAAAATTTTCAAGATTCCAGCATTTTTGAGTTAAGCAGCTTATTTTATAGAGAATTCTTTTCTGAACAAGATGCGCTATCAAGTTTTGTCTAAAACCTATTCCGAAGCCTTTTATGACTATTGAAAGTAGCCGATTTTGGGCTGTTTTGAGGGTTAAATCGTTCACTAGCTTTCGAGAAATACTATTCCGCAAAAACGTTAGCACTATGTCGGAATCAGCGTAAAACTCCGCACAAGACAGGCCAGGTCCCGTACCAGAGTCCCGATGACACTCAATGCGCCTCCTCTGTTAGACCGTCGGTCCGTATCCCAATTGGAATGTCTTCAGTGGGAATCGACGACACAATGGTCAGTCTTACAGTAATTCCAGACAGCAACAGTGATTCGGCACGCGGATTATTGATCCTCACCTGAATATACGATTCTGTGCCATCAGGTGACGACTTATAGATTATCGCCAGAGGGGCATCCCTACACGTACACTTCATAATCTGCCCAGCCATAATAATTTATTTCTCGCACTTAGGTTTACAAGTAAACACTTATTAGTGGAGGTAAGGTTGGAAGTTTGTTGAAGAAAAAGAAAGGGAGGGGGGTCAGGAAGCATTAAGGCGTTAAATGGACATGATTAATTAAAGAATGGATGAAATAGGTACTAATCGGGAAACCTGCTTTTTAAATATCTTAATTGAAGAACTATCGAAGGCAGATTGGGGCAAAGAATTCCAAAGAGCACATACACGCAATGAAAAGAACGACTTTTGTACAGAGGTTTTTTGACCGAGAATAGGCTTGAGCTTAACGAGCAGACCATTCGTCCCGGATCCGCCAGTTTCCACAAAAATTTGGACGCCATTGCGTATCGGAATCGTGTCTTTGGATTCATTGAGGAGAGGAATTCGAGAAGACGTCGATTAGATTAATAAAATTACGATCAACTTCCGATCCATCCAGTTCAACGGTTTTTCTGAAACTTCGGTTCTTCGCATTATCGGGGGTCTTTCAAACTCTTTTCTTAGGCCCAATTTTTAAATATAAAATTGTGGAAGTGTTTCTAACTGGTATTTTACTATTGCTAAACGTGAAAACTTTACAAATTTGTATTAGAAAATCGAAAAATATAGATTTTTTGACAGTAAATGGCCCTTTTTGACCAACCTTTTGAATATTTCAAAATTTTGCGGGGGTTTACGGTATCCATTTTTACGGTTTGGCAAGAGATCGTCCAAAAAAAAGTTGGCCGGCGCCGAAAATCGATGAAATTCGCTGACTCAACTAAACAGAGAAGCGCTCGCCCAGCTTTCTGATAGCGTCATGGATTTCTCACAGTTGAAAAGTTAAGCCATTTTGAAAAGGTGTGTCTAAAACGTAAAAATTTGCCAAAATCGGTACAACATTTTTAGTCGTCAAAATAAATCTAATCAACCACATCGATGTGATTAGTTTATATGCTTTGGATGGAGGGTTCTATCCATCTAGGAAATCGACAACTACAAACTACCGCTGAAAAATTAAAAATTCTTGTATTTCATCACGATATTATTTTTCTTCTGGCAAGTCACCCCTTGCTTTTATTATTAGTTCTATCACTAATATACTTTCGAATATTTTCCCGTACTTCCCGAATCGTCTAGACGTAAATCCTCTTTTTCAGGTACGCCCGGCGCGAATCGAGCGACAACTCGCGATGAAGCTGAATCTCGAACATCGTCACCCTACCGCTGAGGAGGGCCTACTCGGTCTGCCGTACACCAGGTGTGTGCCTTCAAATCCCTCTTTGCAGCTTGTGCAGCCGGAAGCCCTTCCAAAGCGTCGAAAATTTTCAATTCAAAATTTTCACCAGTAGCTGGGAAAATTTTCGCGCCCTCTAGAAAATTTCCCCTGGCGCGCTCTTTTATAGACTTTGGAAATCGTTTTCCAGCGCGTCGCTTATAACCACGCTTTTCTTTATATTTCATTTTTCGTTTCGGCCATTGACACACTAAATTAATCTTTTCCAGGCACGTCTGCACGAATGGAGCAACAATTCTTCGACCTGTTTGAAGCGATGGATCTTGACGGCCGTGAGCCGATCGTTGAGAAGGGTCTACTCGAGCTGATGTACGAGGTTTTTTTGCATTGCGTCTTCCATTTACTTTTTATTTT